ATATGATTACTTTGTGAAAGAGTTAGGAGTGGTCAAACCACAGCATGAAGTCTTCGACTGCTAGTTAGAACCATGTAGGAGGATGTGGACTGGCTGGTTGGGGTTCCCAAGATGCTAAAACCGATGGATTGAGACTATTGAAAACTCAGCCAGAGATAGTCATCTAGTTTACTGAAGAGGGAAAACAACTGAAAACAATCAGAGTTACCTAGTACACCTCTGCATTTATGCATAAGTCATCTATGTATTTATATGAGTTTGTGTTAGTTGACCAGATGATCTGCTGATTTCACAAGCTAAAGCAGAGGAGACGATTCGCCTCACTAGTGGTAGTAGACAGACTGCATGAAATTATTGCAGACACTGATACCCCAACATACATGACTGAACTATATTGCCTGCATAGTAGGATAATATGCACCCACTGGGATTCGAACCCAGGACCTCCCGGTTACAAAGCAAGCTGGTTAGTATACCATTGAGCCACTGGAACCCGATTCAATGGCCAACCCATGAATTCTAACTTCTACCAATTCGTGATTTAGCGCGACCCCAACCATTGTCGTTGGTGGGACATCCATCCACACACGTGACATCTAAATGGACCTCACTGGTCACGACTTCTCACTAGGACTCCAGGAAACTCCATCCTGTAGCAGGTCACTAGCGAGCATCAGATTAATTTTCTATTGTTTGGTTTGTAAGGGTTAGTTATGTTTTTACGAGTTGATCACGGATTGATATCAGTTAGAGAACCATTGAAAACCAGCACTTTAGTACTGGACAGCTGTTTCATCCTAGTTTAGGAATCATCGGCAGTACGGGTCGCGCTAAATCACGAATCGGTAGAAGTTAGAATTCATGAGCTATTGAATCGGGTCCCAGTGGCTGAATGGTATACGAGCCAACTTGCCTTGTAACCGGAAGGTACTGGGTTCGAACCATGGCGGTGGGTGCGTACTGTCGATGATTCCCAAACCAGGATGAAACAGCTGTCCAGTACTCCAGTGCTGGTTTTCAATGGTTCTCTAACTGATATCAATCCGTGATCAACTCGTAAAAACATAACTAACCCTTACAAACCAAACTATAGGAAATGATAAAATTCCGTCGAATAGATATTCCCTGCATTTTATTGGCTAAAAAGAGCACACAGTGAAATAGTGAATAGATTATGAGTGAATCAAATGATCGGAAATAATCAGATTATATGAGCATAAGAATTTAGCTAAATGTAGAATGATCGCCCCCCCCCCCCAAGAAGATGTATAGTTCCGAGGAGAACTCAGCGATCGCAATCTATGTACTAACATACAGTCACACGATAGAGGGGGAGGGACAAAACTACAGTTCCAAAAAAGTAATGCAAGTAGGTGGAGGGAGAGGCAGATTACTGAATCTTTGCTAATCGAATCTATGCATAACACATGGAACAGGAATGACGTAATGCCAACACGACATACATGGAAAATATTAGTACCAATAGAATCAAAGGTTAAGAAATAATGTAACTGTAAAAACGAAGTTTGTAATTATGTGCGTGAGTGCCTTGATATGATAATGAACAGCAATAAATTTTTGGTAGAAACGTCATCAGAAAACAAATTATATTCTTTCGCTGTGTGTGTGCTTTTATCATATAAATCTACTCTATACTGGAATTATTCTCTATCACAGTGCCCAAGTTCTATTCTTATATCAATCATTCAAATGATGAGTGAAGTTGAGACAAAGTTTTAAATATTGGGTGGCTCATAGGTGGTGATTCAAATTCTATCATAACTAAGATGTTTTAAGCTCTCATCATTAACTAAAAGAAACAACCCCACAGACACTATCATTTTTAGCATAGTGCTTCATCTCTGACGTAGACGTGATATCCGACTGGTTATCGTCCAAAGAGCAGTTCGATCTGTCTTCCTTCATGGCTGGCTGTGAATACAACATGGTCATTGAAAGTGGAAGATGTGAAAAGGATGGCTAGCTTTCTTTCATCATAGGTGTCTGCGTTCTATCTCCCGTATTAAGTGGTAGAATAAGGTGAGCAATATTGAGGTTAGGCTTCGGTCGAGTGCCAGCCAGGTAAGGAGGGAAAATCAATCGACGAGGTTGTGAAGTTACACAGATTGCGTTGGTTAGGGAATGTTTTACGGCTTCCTCGACGGGCAATGTTACTCGCTGACATAGGATGGATCAGGTTGGAAAAGAGCCGGTAGTGGTCAAATCAAAATATGGCTCCAGTCAATCAAACCCACAACAGTTAGTTGAAGCCTGGTAGGAAGGTGTAAACTTTCTGGTTGGGGTCCTCGGGATGGTAAAAACCAATGAAGGCTGGAGACAATCGGTGATATGGCTCAAAATAGTCCTCAACGGATGGCGCAGATGCATTCACTCATTATTATTTATATTACCCAATAAAATTCTACTGTTCTTCCACATTAATATTATTTTTGCCTCACATTTCTCTTTATTATCTCTCCTTTGAACCTCTTTTTACTCTCTTCCCTTTCTTTGTGTGCTGCATGGAGGGGATGTGGCGACTTGAACTGCTGCACATCTGTGCAAAGTTCTACGTTGAAACTGGTCACTAACTCATTTTAAGCATATAACCATATACATTGAGTGACTGGATATTTGATTACATTTACAGCACAGTCAACAGTATCAAGTAGATCACACACACACACACGCACACAGTGATCTGAATAATCCCGGTCTCCAAAGGAAACTGTGCATATGGCAAACTTAATTTATGGTATCACCAGTTCGCTCGAGGATCTGGCTAAAAATCAGGTGGTTCGAACTGAACGGGCGAAACAGTCGTTCCGTGGTATTAAGATCCCATCACTCTGGCTGGCCATCCAGTAAGCACTCCTCGGGTTGATGTGACAGATATACAACTACTCATGCCGATCAATAAGTAGTATATATATATAGTTTTATGCAAATATGCTTGTTCCTTGATTACCATTTATGGTATCAAGCAAATCAAACATATTATGATCTAAATAATCTTGGTTTCCAAAGGAAACTATGATGGAATAATCACATCAAACTGTTACGAAAAGTTACGAAGCTATTTCAAAGATTGAAAATTTAATTTACAGTCGACAGTAAACTCATACATTTGATGATATTAGATGGTTGGAGGCATTCGGCCACAGGAAGCCTTCGACCTAGGTTTCGTGCTAGTTGGCACTCGTCAGCAAGGCGTATCTGCAACCTTGAAGGAACTCATATCCCTTCTGAGATTCGAACCCACGTCACCCAGTGCTGCAGTCAGTGACGCGGGTTCGAATCTCAGAAGGGACATGAGTTCCTTCAAGGATGCAGATACGCCTTGCTGACTTACTGGTGAGTGTCAAATAGCACGAAACCTAGGTCCAAGGCTTCCCGCCGATTGCCTCTAACCATCTAATATCATCAAATCAATGTGCACCGTGATGGCGAGCTACCTAGAATGGTGGTCACATTACAACCTGACTGATAGAATTTAGTCTGCACCAAAGAGAGGACTAGACATGTCAAACTAGGTACTAGTGTCAAATCAAAAACTAATACATTATTTGAGAAAAAAATCTTTTTTTATGAATGAGTTATCGGTTTAATAAATTACGTGTATTATCTCTTAACTATTAAGTTACAAGTTCGCTTGAAGAGATTTATGTGGCCAGTTGGCATCAAAACCTTCCCGAACCAGTTGTCACTCACTGCAAAGCATACACACGGTCGGCTTCGTGTGCTTTTGGAAGTGTGTGGGCGGTTGTTACTTCCCGGCTGCCCACACCGTGGAAGTTGGTTGGGTCTTCGGGTACCTGAAATAGAGAAGAGGTTAGTGTTGCGTGACCGCAGAGCCCAGGGGACAACTGCTTGAGGCCGGTCACACGCGACCTGTTTTTGTTTGTTCTTTCTTGTTTGGTGTGTCTCAGTAGCATATTTATCACTTCTGCCCTGTGACACGGCAACAGAAAGCGCGGTCCGGGCCCCGACCGATCCGGCATGATATTTTGTGGATTTATTTGAATCATAGTGTAGGATTGGGTAGCTGCTTTTTGTCTAACCGCTATCCAAACAACCTTTCTGGCATGGTAGGACCTACAGGAACATACGTTCCAGCCAGTGTACCTTATTGGGCCATTGCGATATGCAAGCCCGACCACCACGTCAAGGTAGCAGCTATCGGCCGGGAAGCATACACACACACAATGTTATTAATGTTTGTTTGTAAACTTATATATATTACTTGATAAACCCAGATAAATTATTTAATACAAACTCTTAAACCACGATGGTATGTACTTTAACTGAGTCACGCCGTCGATTTTTAACTGAAATCATCATCAACACGGCGTCGGTGGCACAGAGGTAGAATGCTCGCCGACCACGCCTCATGTGGTCCGAGGTTCGATCCCCGGCCACCGACGCACTCCTTTATCTCACTAAGCCAGTAATAAGACTGGTAAAGAGGGAAGGTTGGAAATGAGGCTAGCAACCCCATCCCGTAAAACTAAACACCACTGCTACCGAAACTTCAAGCCTCTAGTTTGAAGCCCTATGTTCCACTGGAAACGTACAGGAATAAAAAAAATTATGACTGTGACTACATAACAACGGTAGGGTAGTTTGATAACCGAACTGTTTTTATATTTGGCAGAATAACACGTGTAATTATAACAAAATGCACAAACCTTGCATTGATACCTCTCTATTTGCCCATGTCCTTCGCTACATGCTTCTCTTTTGTCTTCCTTTCTTGCCTTCTATATAATATTGTTTTACAAGGATCCCTCATTTCTCTCCCCTTCAATCCACCAATCTTTATTCTTTCAGAATATCACACACATATAATATATTACTTACAAAAAATCTTGTTAGTAGCACTTTTAAAATAAAGGAAAACCTAACTGATTTTTTTTTTATTAAAAAAAAGGTTAAATGATGGATGAATCGCTCAGAGAGTTAGTTGGTAAATATATACAAGAACTACAAAAAAAACTCACAGCTTTATCCATACTTTGTGCAGATGGTATATGATCCAAGTCGATGAATGGATGAGAGAAAAACTGTTCATGAGTTAATCGCTCGGAGGGTTTACGTTTCAATAAATCCCGTATTAATGCAGCACACGGTTTACTGATTTCATTGGTCTGAGGCACCTATGCAAAATACGAGTAGGAGATACGGGAAAAAAGTGGCTTAGATATTCATTTCTTTTAATAAACATAATAAACAGTAGATTGCTGAACCATCGTCAAACATAGGTACAATTTCACAATGTTTATTTGCAAATTGATATGAAAATAAAAACAGGAGAGAAAAGAAGACAAATCTTCGAGAATTAGTTTGTAGGGATTTGATTGGTTTCAAGTTTTCCCATGGATTGATATTAATTAGAGCGCACAGGACACAGCTGTTTCGACCTTGTTTGGAACACTGCAGCACTACCACCCCCCTGACCCAACTAGGGATCGAACCTAGAACCTTCAGGTAACAAGAAGAGCTCGTTCACAATTCAGCCACTCGGATGGAATCATGTAACCCATGAATTCTAAATTCTGTTGGTTTGTGATTATTGATGCCACCTCCAGCCAATGTCATCGGCGAATATTTGACCTCACACGCTACTTGGTGTGCCCCACTGGGCAACAGCAAAAAAAGGTACCACGATTAAATGATCCTGAATCAACTACTCATATTCTCTTGGGTGAAATACAGTAGTTTATAATAGAAAGTATAGAAAGTATCTACGAACAACCACAGGGGAATTAGAAACTCATGTTTATAGGAAATCAACTCACACGGACCAAATACTCACTCAATTACAACAGTAACAATCCAATAACACACAAAAGGAATTGTATACAAACACTATTCAAGAGGGCCAGCCAGGACTCATTGCAGCACTTCCACCTTAAGGAAAATTGAAGAAAGATATCTCATGGACGCCAGCCTTCCAAAAGAATCGATATCCACGAAATTTCATCAAAAGACATATACCCTCAAGCGAACCTATCAAATCAAAGGCCCCCAAGAAAAGCACAAAGAAAACTGCCATATATAAACGAAATCTCAGAAATCACTACAAGACTCTTCAAACCTTTAGGAATTGACGTCGCACACAAACCAACAAAATCACTTCACCCAGCTGGTTCTATGTCAACCAAAAGACTCAACAACGGAAGAAGAAAAAACCAACATTATCTACAAAATAAATTGTAGCAACTGCGAAAAACACTACATTGGCCAAAGTGGACGCCGTCCTCTTCGTCTTCGTATCCACGAACATAAGCTAGCCATCAACAGACATGACATCCACTCCATCACTCATATCACTACATACAGACAACCACGGACATCACTTCGATTTGGACAATGTTCAAATATTAGACAGAGGAAAAATGCCGAGAATGCTAGAGAATTTTTAGAAGCCTGGTATTCCAGTGAATCGTCAATCAGTAGGCACATTAACATAGACAAAATTTACCAATCGATAAGAAGGAAATCTTACACGCGAAGGGTCAAACTTCAGGTCAAGGAAACAATCAACACCAATACCAATACAGGTAGCCTACAGGGTGTGAAAACACACAAAAACAACCAATCACATTCAAGCTCAGGTCACCAGGAGAGATGACTGATAAACTTGTGGAGAAATCTAAAAGCTCACTTCAAGAAATTGAAGTATGCGCTGAAGATGTCGCCTAGTAGGGCAATTATGAATGCTCCACAAATAAACTGTCCAGCTCAGAGAACACAACCACATCAAAATCATCCACCTGAGCTACAAATCTTCTCCATCATATCTATAGTATCTATTCCTTATACTTGTCCCCGTTAATCGCGCCCTCTCACTGGAACTTCATGCAACTCCGTTTTGCAGTTGGACACCAGTGACCATTAGATCAACTAAAAACTGTTACTTTGAGAGGATTAGACCAGTTTCCATTTTGATCAAAGATCGGTGTGAGTTAGCAAACCAGCGGTACCGATGAAGAGTTCCAAACTATGAAGAAACAGCTGTCCAGTATTCCCTGGTTTTCAGTGTTTCTCTAACTGAAATCAATCCGTGATCAAACATGTAAAGAATAACGGAATGACTACAGGCAATTTCATAAGATGCATTTACAAATGGGTCTACGCAATCTGTATTTCTTTTGATATTAAAGTAAGCGAGAAATTCGCTGTGTGATCACAGTTAATATCCATTTTGAGCAATATCTATAAACATTGCGACTTGAACTGACCCTCATATCAGTCCAACAAAACCATATTTTGTTTCACAAAACCACTTGATATACTTCTTCAAATTTTCGGTACTAGATGGTTGGAGGCAATCGGTAGGAAGCCTTGGACCTAGGTTTCGTGCTAGTTGGCACTCATCAGCAAGGCGTATCTGCAACCTTGAAGGAACTGATGTCCCTTCTGAAATTCGAACCCGCATCACCCAGTGCTGCTGCAGTCAGAGACGTTACCACTGAGCTATTCGGGCTCGCCATTGACCTCCTGTAGGACACTAGTTACTAGTGTCCAATGAAAATAAGCTGAATTTCAGAAAAATTAGGAAAGATAATATTACAAATTCATGAATTTATAGTCTCTACTGAAGGCCAGGGCGGTAGTAGTGGCTGGACTTGCTTCTTTTGAACACAGAGCACTGGTTGTTTGAGACGAATTGCAATAGCCTCTGTTGTTTGGAGCATGCAGTACTTCGATGATTTTGGCAATTTATTAGGCACCCGGTAGATGATAAAGAAGGATTCTTCAATGCTATCCGGCTTTGTGGCCAGTTTGCACCAGATAGTCCAATATCGAACTGTTAATGGTTTTCACTACACCTTTACTTAGCCATACTGGGAAATGTTCATGAGCGAGTACGAAAAATCAAGTTCCTAGAGCAACGACTAATATAACTCGCTCCAGCACAAGTGCAGTTGAATTGGTAGATACAATTTGAAGTGGCTAATCTAGGTACTTCATCTTTCAGTCGAGGTAGCACCATCGGTCGTGTAGAGAATAAGACGTGTTGTTCGCCAGCATTAAAAGTTCTTTGAACTGATTTTCTTAATTTCTTCGTAATTATCTCACTTGGTATATCGCCCTTGAATTGCAGTCGAATATAAAGAGGCTTCTTGTTTTCTTCATTCTTTTCGCGTCCCAAGTAAAACACAGGGCTTCAAGCTCTGAAGTCTCAGTAGCGGTGGTATTGGCTTTTATGGGAGGCGGTTGCTAGTCTCCGTCCAGCCCAACCTTCCCTCTTTCCCAAGATAATTATCGGCTAGGTGAGGTTTAAGTGCGTCGTCTGGAGATCGAACACCGGACCACTTGAGGCGTGGTTGGAGAGCATTCTACGGTTGAACCACCAAAGCACAGATTTTACATCAGCATACACTAAGTTACAAATTTTCCAATAAACCATATTAATCCAAATCATTATACTACAATAATACATTCTATCTAAAGCTCAAATAAAATCGAATTTACGCTCTTCACAAAACACTAAAACAATCATGTGATAGAGATATTTGCATACTTTGCACACACACACACAAATTCATCAAAATAAACAGCAGGAGAAAAAAACTAACAAGAATTTTTCAGAACATATAAGAATGACAGGATTCGAGTTAGAAATACTTCACCCACTGAGTGTACATACTGTTTATCAAGATTCCTACCTTACTTGTAGTCAATTCCTGCACAAATCATATATAAATAAGTGGAATTCACACCACTTTTACAGTTGGGTTGGATGTCTCAGTCGACAGGGCTGAATACCTCTACTTTAAAGCCTATCGCTAATAAAGATCACTATAGATATCAGTCTTCATTGTTTCCTTAAATAAAAAACTTAACAATTAAAACACAAAATAATCGAGCAGAGAATATCCTTTCCGATAAATCCCTCTTCTGGCTCTACAATTATATATATATATATATATATTCATATATATAAATTCATATACACAGAATATTCTAGATTAGTAGTTAATGACAATATTAGTGCTTTTTAAATAATATTGATTTGTAAAGTAAGATCAAGCGAATTACAGTTCATTAAAGATGCTTAAATTATAACAATAATAAAGATATAATAGCGAATAGAATATCAACTAAAATTTGGGAAATTCCACAAAAATTCCGGATTAATCAAAGCTGGATGGCCAAGGTAATGATAATGACTGAACTAACTTCTTTTGGATGCATAAATTAGGCTTATTAATATGGATCCCCACAGCCTCAGCAATATATAGTAGTCGAACTCTTAAAGCAAAATTGGGATTCGTAGGCATGCGGTAAATGACCCTGAAAGCATGATTAACGTCAATCTTGTGTTCTGTCTCCACAAGATGAGACAGAATAGCGCTGCGAATAGATTTTGTTTTTCCTTTGCTTAACCAGGCAGGGTGATGTTCCGAAATTTGACGAGAAACACGGCTAATTGTACGGCAGATGTAACGGGCTCACTCTACAGGAGCAGTTAAATTGGTGGATACACATGGATGAGGCGAAATTAGGCAGTTTATCTTTTATTCCCGAACGCAGAAAAGGAGCGGTTTTAAAGATACAGCGTAATTCAGCAGCAGGGAATGCTCTTTTTACCGCATTTCTAAGGCGCTGTGTTAGTATCTCACTGTTGTCTCCTAGGAACTGCATCTGTAAGAACAAGGCCTTTTTTGGAACTGTTGGTAACTTGGGCTGCTTTGGTTTCAGATTCATATTCTTATCAATAAACTTTTTAGGATAACCATTCTCACTTATTATTATATTATTATTATTGTATCCTTTAATTCCTAGAGGAACATAGGCCTTCAGCCGTGCGTCTCCATTGCGTTCGGTTCTCTGTTAGAGTTTTCACCTGGCTCCAAGTCTGCCCACACGGTTTCATCTCCTCTTCACATGACCTCCTCCAAGTCACCCTTGGACGACTAGCTCGCCACTTCCCTTTCGGGTTCCACTCGAGCAATGGCCTGGCGTGTGATGTCACTTGATGGTTTCCTCAGAGTATGGCCAATCCAATCCGCCTCCATTTCTTCCTACATATTTGTTTCACAATCGGTTCCTGGTTGGTTTGTTCATTGCCAGAGATCCCTGTTGCTGATCTTTTCTGTCCGGCCATCTGATCTTGAGTATTGAGCGAAGACAACTGTTAATGAAGGTCTGTAGTTTGTTTGTGATGCTCTTTATGACGCGCAGTGCAAGTCTCTGATCCATCCGTATAGTAGCACTGACTTCACATTGGAGTTGAAAATCCGGATCTTATTTTGGATGCTGAGCAGTGCTGTTGACCTCCACACAGACTTGAGAGTAGTGAAAGCTTGTCTTGCTTTTCCGATTTTTGCTTTGATATCCTCGTCAGTTCCGTCCGCCTGTAGTTGAAACGATGCTTCCCAGGTAGGTAAAAGAGGTTGTTTCTTCTCACTTAGCAACTGTTTAATATTGTTAAGTTCCTCGTCAAGACATTCGTCCGGGCAAATCTCTCTTGCTCTGTGGACCAAGCACTTTATTACATTGCGTTTGTGTCAACAATTAAGGTTACCTTACAGATGTGTTAACAGAGATGAATATTTGAATGTAGATTTCGTCACGAACCAAAATCAGATAGAAAGGTCACCGAAAACCAGGAAGTACTGGACGGTAGTTGCTTCATACTAGTTTGAGACTACCGCTCAGCAGTGTACACCCACGACCCCAACTATGGATCGAACCCGGGACCGTCAGGTTATCAGTCTCCAACTCATTGATGGTCACTCGGAAGTCGTGACCAGTGGGATCCACCAAGTAGATGTTCAACTGTTTGAATGGTCTATGACCATGGTCTCATGACATGAAAGTCCCGGGTTCAAGCCCTGGTTGCATCGTGTGGTTGTGCACTGATGAAGAATTCCAAGCTACGACAAAACGGTGTTCTGTGCTTTTTCAATGATTCTCTAACAGATGTTCGTTGGTCACAAAAAATCTACACTGAAATTAATCCCTGCAGTAACCGCATAATCTAAAGAAAAATATGATAAATTACCTCAATAGGATCATCCTTCACTAGTATTTCTTTCAACTGCTGAATATTTGCATTACCATATGGAGGAGCACCGAACAGACACTCTATTCAGTGAGAAGGAGAGAAAAAGAGAATGAAAATAAACGAGGAGAAATAATGTCTAGAAATAAATAAACTTGGCAATCTCTATTTAGTCATGGTACCAAGAGCAGTGTTAAATCTTCTAACGCGTTCCAGCCTAATCGGTCTTTCATTTCTTCACTTTTATATATATCGACTCAACAAGTTAATGTGTGATCAGATCACACTTTGGAATGTATTGCACAAATCTATCAAACAGTGAAGATTTAAAACACATCACCGACTGAGGTGGTAGAGGAGTATGTTACGCATCCCCAGCCACCATCTTCCTCAACGAGCAACGTTACCTGAAGTGGGATTACTTTGAAGAGGTTTCAGGGATCATCTCGCATGACAACACGATACGTGTCCATGAAGTCATTAACTGTCGGCTTCATCCACGTAGGGATACGCAAACTGCCTGGCTTGGGGGTCATAGGGACGCTAATAATCAATGGTTTGAAACTACTGGTGACACCAATATTTATCTAATTACCCTACTTCCTGTATATTTCCGTCTACTGCAGTTTCATTGCATTTCTTTCGTCTACTCTTATGTGCTTCTGTGAAATGGGGCAACTTGAACTAAAGCACTATTGTACCAAGTCCTACACTTTACGTTTGTTATTATGCTTCTCAATTAGTCGAAAACGGAGTTATAACTCATTACTTTGAGCACTGAACTTTGAAGTAGTTAGTTCACGGTTCCCAATCCCCGTCCTTTCATCGAAACAGGCAATTAGATAGTGAATGTGGAAGAATTATTTTCTTTTCTACCAAACAGATGTCTTCATTAAACCTTCTCAGTTCCCTTCGATATTCCACCGTCTCGTTTTACAACTGTAACAGGCAATCTTTCTTTCTTTCTTTCGATAGAATGATAGTCAGAAACGGAATACATATTCACTTCATTATAACGGGAAACAAAGAAGGTGGTTGCAGAGAGGGAAATGCCTCCTCCTCGACAAACTCACACAAATACAGATACATACGAACTAAGCTGTACATTCATGAGTACACATATTAGAAACTGTAAAAACTATTTAAGAGCTACTTCCGGTCAGCAATAAGAATTGATAAAATTACGAAAATAAGTCTTCATAATTCAATAAGAATCTGGAATATGAGAAAAAACAAGGAATAAAGAAATATAATTATACAATGGAGAAACTATCTAGAACGATAAACCCGTCATGGTAGCACCAACGTAATTCTTTTTTGGTTACAGGATTTCATCATGAGCTGACATTGGTTAGAGAACCATTGGAAAACCTGCAGGGAGTACTGGACAGCTGTTTAGTCCTAGTTTGGGACTCTTCAGCAGTACGCACCCACCGCCAGGGTTCGAACCCATGACTTTCTGATTACAAGGCGAGCTCGCATACCATTGAGCCACTCGGACCCAATCCAATGGCCCATGAATTCTAACTTCTGCCAATTCACGATATAGTGCAACCGCCAGCCAGTAGGGTGCAGCAGGTCGGGTGTGAGGACAAATACTAGCCAAAGACATTGGCTGGCCATTGGATCGGGTCCCAGTGGGTTAATGGCCTACGAGCTCACTTGCCTTGTAACCAGAAGGTCGTGGGTTCGAACTCTGGCGGTGGGTGCGTACTGATGAAGAGTCCCGAACTAGGACGAAACAGCTGTCCAGTACTCCCTGCAGGCTTTCCAATGGTTCTCTAACCAATGTAAGCTCATGATGAAATCCTGTAACCAATCAACCAAATCCCTACAAGCCAATACTTGAATAATTCTTTTCTGTGCGTCGGTGGCACAGTGGTTAAGACTCTCGCCGACCATGCACATGGTCCGGGGTTCGATCCCCTGCCGGCGCACACCCGATATCTATGGTCGGCCTGAATTTGGGCTACCGATATCCATGCTGAAAATTCCATACTTGTACTGAATATACGGTGTGGAATCAAGCTGTAAATAAAAATTAAAAAAAATAAAATAATCTACAACTAAGCAAACGAACCTATTGAAAAGATAATGAATCTAATGGAAGTTTTCTTCTTGAACTACTTGGAACAGAAAGAGCCTTAGTGCTGCGCGACCGCAGAGAGCCCAGGCGTCAACTGTCTCAGTAGCTTTTAGCGTTGTAATCGTATTAAGATATTACCGCCACCTCCAAACTGGATGTCGGGATGAACAATCTTCAGAATCTACCTTTTCTAACTTCATTCTATCTCCCGAGATCGAAGAGGCTGTATAACTGGGATGCTAGTCATCTATAAGAAACACCTTATTGCTGTCAAATCCCAATTCGCCAGCAGTATAAGTTCGCCAACATACCCCAAGCATTGTGTAAACGATTTATACTAAGACGGTAACTGCTTTTAGTTTGACCTCTATCCAGATGATCTTCCTGGCATGGTGGGACCTGACAGGAACATCAGTTCCAGCCAGCGTAGTTCTTTGGATAGTTGCAACATGCAAGCCCGACCACCACCACCACCACGACGTAAAGGTAGAAGTGACCGGTCGGGATAGGAAGTTTTAACATTCCATTAAACATTAGATGAACAGAATTTGAAAAAAGAAAAACAACCATTCAGCTCACCGTATAAAATAATACCAACTGACCATAAATCACAAGATGGATGATAAACACCTTCGCAGTATATTTCAGGCGCCATATACAATAGTGTACCACGTACTTCGTTCATGTGAGCTGTCCCTTCAATACACTTGGCGAAACCAAAATCTTAGTTAGAGGAAATAACAAAAATTGAAAAGGTAATCAATACACCAGGCACATTATGTACATGACAATGTCAGTTGATTAGCTAATATTTGGAACTGTCAGAATGTGTAAGCAAAAAAGAAAAGAGAAATAGGCACTTTTCAGTAAATAACCTTCGCTGATTCAATGGCAGAACGCTCGCCAAACACCCACATGGCCTGAGGTTCGATTCCCGGCCGACGCACTCCTAAACCTAGCCTAACTGGTAGTAAGCTCGGTAAGGAGGTGAGGTTGGGCTAATAAGCCCACTTCGTAAAAAAATACACCACTGCTACTGAAACTTCACAGCCCAAGCGTGAAGCTCTATGCTCCACTCGGAACGATGCTGAATAGAAAACATAAGTGAAAAAATACATCAACTGAACACACAAATAAACTTGGTTACCATACTACTGTGTAAAAGAACGGATAACAATGACACAGTGTTCAGCATTCATCGTCATTGTCAGTACTGTTTTATTTATCAATTTATACAGCACAGATTTTAAGAAATGCACCACATGGAATAGGAAAAAGTACTGAAAAAAGGGTGCTATATGACCTTAGTTGACTTCGATTATGAGCGGTTACTCCTTTACTCCTCTTCATATTATGAGTGGATTACCTTCCAGTTGCTTTTGAACAGTCCTAAGGCTAGAGAAAAGTGTGGTAATTTGACTCACTGACTTCAATACATGACTTTTAAGTGGTGGTTCACAGATGAGAAATCCTTCCCCCCCCCCCACCTAATTCATTTTGAGAAACTGGATAGTATCATCACCTCTAATACAATAACTGTCGCTGACAAGGTGGTGCTTGAAAACTTTAAATTGAATAAGTGACTACATTTCCAAGCCACTGATGTTGTTCTATTAAGATTGATAATCATCCCACTTCACTTGCTCCATCACTCACAATCGATGCAATCAAACTACTAAGGCAACTGTTTGGTCCTTGTTTGGGATTCTTCACCAGTGTACACCGATGACTCCTCTCCCTGGAATTTATTCACACAGCTTCATAATTCGCTTTACATATATTTTTCGCCACCGACCTCCCCCCCCCCCCCCCGTTGTTTATTGCAATTTTCCATATATCCAGTATAGGCGTTGTATCATTTCGATTGCACGTGTTTAGTGTTTATTCTATGAACAAAGATTCGCTGATTAACCTCTCTTTTGCATACGTAAATTAACATAAAATAGGGTGGGACAGAGCTATAGTCATTAAAAGTAATATAGATAGGTGGAGGGAGAGGTTGATAACTGAATCTTTGTTCACCGAATCAACACCAAACACGTGCAGTCGAAATGATGTAACGCCTATACTGGATATATGGGAAATTTAAATAAACAACAAGGGGGAGAGAAGAAATATATAAAGCAAATTATGAAGTCGTGTAAATGCACTGATATGACTACAAGCAATAAATTGTGCATGAAACGTCATCCAGATATTAGTACTGTATGGTTGGAGGCAATCAGCCACAGGAAGCCCTGCTGCGAACTAGGTTTCGTGCTAGTTGGCACTCAGTCAACAAGGCGTATCTGCAACCTCGAAGGAACTCATGTCCCTTCTGAGATTCGAACCCGCGTCACCCAGTGGGGCTACAGTCAGAAACGTTACCACTGAGCTATTCGGGCTCGTGATTGACCTCTTGTAGGACTGTACTGGATATTTTTGATTGGATTAGTATTAGTACTGTATCACTGTATGTAATACCAAACAAACCTATCTAAAATGGAATTTAGCTCCACCACAGTGGCGAAATTCTACATTAGACAGGAATTCAAACCTAGGACACACTGTCTCCAAAGACAAATACTTAGGCCAAAGAGCCACATTTTCACATATGAATTATAATGAAAATGTTAACGAATTGCCGGAATTATAATGTACAATATTCCTCTTATTTGAAGGCTCCCTTTCGAACTTAAAATAGGAAATTATAATTACGCATACACTTACGCAAAAATATGCATACATCTATTCACCATCTTCCCTTACCTAAACACTTTCAGAAAATCTTGTTCATTCGTAAAGCAATTTTATTCGGCCAGTTAACACACCCTCACAACGACATATCTGCACCAGTTTTGTGACACTTAAGTCGGTATTAGGACTCAAATTTTGTACTTCTACTGTTTTTTTTACTTGAATAAGATTACATAATTCACTCACACGAGTGAAAAAAATACATAAGAGCTGCTTTCACAGCAATCATCCATCCTGTCTTATAAATACGACTGTCGTTAGAAACGATACGGTACTTCATTGGATAGTCTAAACCTCACCTTTAGTAAATCCACAAAAGCAAGAAATTTAATTTTCAAAACAAAAAATCTTTGACGAACAACATTTAAAGGGGACTAAAACAACAAAACTTGTATTACACAACTTAAGAAGAAGAAAACATGACCAAACGGTGGTGGAACATACCTGCAAGCTTCAACGTTGGATTATTAAATGATGTGAGCAAAATATTTTGTGGTTTTAGATCCATGTGAATGATATTCTTGCTTTTTAGATATTGAAGAGCTAAGGCTACGCAAATGTCAGCAATTAAGGTTTACAGATTCGACTACACTCTGACTTACCTAATTGTTGCAGAAAGTGTTGCACAAGTAACTCGTCTAGTTTTCGTTTCTGCTTTAAAAATCTGCCAAGATCACCTCCACCACAGAATTCCATAATTATGTACACATACGATGCATCCCACTACAATTATGATGATTGATGGTCACTAATCAATAATAAAAGCATACTTACTGTGAAATCAAGCATACAAACAATATGCGGATGTTCAAGAGTCTTCAATATTGATATCTCACTGACTAGATTGTCTTGAGCTTGTTTGCCTAGTCTACTTTTCATCATACACTTAATGGCGACTAGTTTACATGATCCCTTGATGAACAGGAACAGGAACACGAACAGATTATGCAAGAAGAAAAAAACGGCTCACTTACAAACTTCTTTCCCATATACACAAGTCCATATGTCCCTCGTCCGAGTAAGTGAGAGACAGTAAAGCCAGGTACTTTGATCATTTAAATAAACGACGACAAGAAATCGTGACTTCGTTGTTAAAAATGGTGACTTTACAAGGCTGAACAGGAAAAAAAGAGCACAAAAGTTTCAGCTAAATAAGAATGAAACGGGTAAACATTTTGATACTACAATACTAATATTTACCATAAACAAATAAAGTCTGGGCGTTTTGTCTTTAGAAAACAGTATGGAAAATAAGTTTACTTCGAGAGAGATACAAAAGTATAATTATTGTGAGACAAGTGCGCAGATCAATGAAACAGAACAATAGTACTATCCAAATGTCACCAAGTATCATTGAATACTGACTTCAAATGGTAATGAAAAAACTGCAGGTGACAAAAATACAGACAAGGTTGCCCTATGTATCAACTGACAATCTAAAATCAGTGGAGTAGTAGATTTATGGCATTTTGCTGAATGAGGAAGGTGTTGGCGTTTTCCCCAGCTATAGTCGAATTCATTAAGTCTACAGTGAGCGCTTCACCCTTCGACAGATTCTGGAACATAGGCATACTTACCGTCGGCGTCCAACAATCGTCATATTTCATGACCTGAAAGCGGCATTCGATTCTATCGACCGAGAGGGACTATGGAAATGCTAGGCTGTAAAGGGAATGCCGAGAAAATACATTGCACTGATCAAGGCACTTTACTCGAACTCATGAGAGTTGTCATCTGAAGCGGTGACAACTAGTGGTGTCCGTCAGGGGTGCCTATTATCTCCATTTCTATTCAATTTCATCATAGATGTGCTATTGGACTTAACCCTAAGTGAATTCTGAGACTCAAGAACTGACTTGTTACCAGAGAATAATCTTGTTGACTTAGAATATGCAGATGATATAGTCCTTCTAGGTGAAGACGCCAACAAAATGTAGAGTCTTCCGAACACCTTGACAGGCAGCAATCTGCGAATGTTTGGCATGCGATTCGCTCCCGCCAAGTGTAAGATGGTGCTAGAGGACTGGACTACATTGACTCATTCCTAGCTTAGAAATAGGGAGTGAAGTGGTTGATGGAGCGTGTTGACCGCTTCAATTATTTGGGAAGTTGCATCAGCCAACGCCAGATAGGTTGATCGCTGACAAATTTTCAGCACGGATACAGAAGGCTCGTTTGGCATACGCCAGTTTACGCCGTCTCTGGAGTAGACATGATATCCGGATGGCTGTGAACCAAAGGGCGCATCTACTGCTCAGCAGTCAATTTGCTCCATCATCCTTCATGTCTGTGAGACATGGCCATTGAAAATTGAAGACATGAAAAGGCTGGCTAGCTGTCTTTGATCATAAGTGCCTGAGTTCCATCTCCCGTGTTAAGTGGTACAATAAGGTGAGCAATGTTGAGGTGAGGATTCGGTAGACAGCTAAGTAAGGAAGGCAAATCAATAGAGGAGGCTGTCAAGTTACATCGACTGAGATGGTTAGGAAATGCGTTACGCATACATCCATAGCCATCTCCTTCTTCGATGGGTAGTGTTATGTGACAGGATGGATCAGGTTGGAAAAGAGCCAGTGGTGGTCGAACCAAAACATGGCCTCATCAGTCAATCCAATCCACAACAGTTAGTTCAAGCCAGCCGCCACGTAGGGAGGTGTAGAATTCTTGGTTGGGGTCCTCGGGACAGTAAAAACAATGAAGGCTGGAGACAATTGGTGATATGGCTCAAAGCAATCGTTCTCCATGACGGTGTAGATGCATCCACTCCTTGTGACTTATAATTTCCAATAAAACTATATTGTCCTTCGATACTATTATTCCTTTTGCCTCATATCTCTGTTTACTTTCTCTCTCTTTTGAACCTCTTTTTACTTTCTTCTCTTGCTTTGTGTGCTAAGTGAAGTGTGGCAACTCGAACTGCTGCACATCGGTGCAAAGTTTTACGCTGAAACCAGTCAGACAGAGAGCACTGGAAAAACTTTTTGAGTCCAGCAGGTTGTCCCCATTAACTGCTTTACTAGCTAATTTACAGAGAATTAGGATACTGCCAATTGACTAGTAAAGACCACTAAATATTCTATTTCACAACAGGATATGCTGTCACTATAACACATAATATCACCATTAATACAGTGTCAAAAATAATTTGTAGTCTAATCGGAACATATGAACAATGAACTTCAAAGCAAAACATAGACTCCATAACAGAGCAAAGGCGTATTGGTCATGTATTCCTAGTCGACAAACACTGACATCCCATATTATGAGATACAAAAATCTCATCATGGTTGGTTCATTGAGATGATATTGTCATGAAAGGACTGTCTATAAGTTATTTCGTACTGTGGCATTCAACTTGAAATCTCTTCCACCTAACTGACCTAGGCAGCATCGTTTCAACTCCTGGCAGACGGCGCAGATGGCGAGTTCAAAATCAAACGTATGGACAAATTCTTGGTTCTAGACAAAACAGGCCACAAAGACTCTGTTAGGATCGGTCGTTTGATAGAGGCCTACCTAGAAAGCAAAACTATGAGCCCTGAACTAGTTGTTCCGAATAATACACAGCTGACTGAGTACCCACTAGTCCTCGAGGAAGCAACCAGAACCGCGAAGGCGATCGGGGCCTCTAACGGGACCCAAGGGAATACAAATTCAAGACTGCCCGTGAGGTTCCTAGAGCACCTTCATGCTTACCTTACAGGATAAGATGATGGTACCCCACTTTCCCAGAAAGGTAGTCTAATCTGTTTATGGTACTCTCTTTTATGCATATAGATTATTTTTCGCTGAATCTTGCATTATAAATTAAGTGTATTGTTTCAATGACTGTACATGGAACATCAACTGCTTAAAAAATTTCGGCGTTTTTCATCTTCGATTTTTTTTCACATGGTTTATGTATGCCCTGATTCAATTGCCATTTTTTGGTAGGTTTTTTTGACAAGGTCTTCAGCATTATTGTTTCCTTTTCTAGGTACGACGGAAACTGGATAGGAAGCAAACGAAGCACAAGATCCAATGGACAAACATCAGAGAAGCGATGTACATGTACCACATTAACATACGCAGACGACCAGTAGGAAACTTATTGCCACTACACCCATCGAAAGTTTCACCAATGGTGCTACCATGAGAGTTTTACTCCCGGCTGATTGCGTCCTAGCAATGCCACTAGGAGAGGGTGAGCTGTAGCGGCAAATAATACCCCCCCCTCAAAAAAATTATTAGCCTGCAGTATTTATCACTCAGCGCTGGATGTCGCCCTTCACTGTTTAAGTAAACTCGTTAAGCTGGAAGTTCGACGTCAGGCATTCACGCTATTTGGCACCATCGTGTTACGTTCGCTCATTCGTACATGATCATTGCATTAGGATTCTGATTCCGAAATATATCTTGTATTCTGGACTATCAATCTGGTGTTTTGATTTGTATTTGGTCTAAGCAGAACAAATAATCACTACGGTCCTGACCTATTCTCTCTTTTCCTTCCCATCAGGTCGGAACACCTTAGAGAAGCCAAGAAGAAATCATATTGCTGTGGAGTACTGGTTCTCACACCGAGTCATAAACTCTTGGAACCGACTCCCAGAAGAAGTGGTGTCTGCAACCTCGGCTGATTCATTCAAGAAGGGTTTGGACAAGCACAGAAGTTTACTAGAAAAGGATTAACATAGGCTCCAAGCCTTCTATCCTCAACCAAATCTGAATAAGAACCTGAGTTGTATAGATCGCAGTTTACGTAAACATCAACATTCCCTTCATCTCCTGAAACGGGAATTCGCAGCTACGGGACGGATCTCGAAACTTAAATAACATGAAAAATTATGAGCGATGTTTCCCGTTAGGAAAAACAGTAAAACTAGAGCAACATCGAAAATAAGATGTAGTCAAATAAAGTCCATGGACAAAAAAAATATGATTTAAACTTTGACACAGAAATTCCATGCTAAAGTCGACTGCTAAAGCTGAGAATACGTGGTCAAACACGCTACTTGCGCCTTGGTGTGTCAGGCTTACTTTTTCGGGTACGATCTCGAGTTAGTTAGGTATCGATAACAGCTCAACAGTGATGATCCACAAATATGTTTCGTATTTCGGACGACCAAATTGTTCTCATATACAAGCCTAACCGATTCCTAGCCCACATCAAGTACATTAATGAGCTACAGCATACCATACGAGTATTATTACATCATCGTAGTCCTTTTACGCGACAACATTTAATCAATCCAAAGTAGTGAATAAGATGCTTAAGCACCAGAAACACTAAAGACCGGCACTTACTACCCCATCTTCGAAATATAAAAGCACATTTATATGGCACGACCACTGTTACTTAGTTTGACCTGCTCTGGGCATGCAGTCACAGGAAGACATTCCGAAGATACGGATTGTTATAAAATTTGAACTGTTCAAATTCTCACGCAAAAATTCAGTAATTCACAGCAAGTCTGATTCACAGAATCCCTAAAATACGCCAATAAATATGCACATTTTAAGTCTTTCATAAGTAATTATACCGATACGTCAACAAACACATGTAGACTTGTGAAAAACCCATTATTACTACGGCTAAATGCGAATAGAGAGATCAACACCTAAAACAATTCCTGGAATATTCTGTTAGTATTCTGCAAACACTGATGACATAGTTGTAAAAAGGTACAGTTAAACACGGTGAGAACACTCGCAGTCATGAACAACACATCTTCATAAAAAACCCTACAATACTTCACGTAAAGCTTGATTCCGCAATATAAGTGGGAATGCGAAGATTCCAAGCCCAATTAATTTATAATTAATTATAGCAAAATACACCTTGTAACCCAAGCTTACTATAATGCTGATTTAAATCTCACTAATTCTGAAATAATTCTAACATTCTATAGTGAGTTAATGCTGAATCTGTTCTGAAATGGATTCTTCAATGGCACAGACTAGAACTTAGTGCTGGTTTTCAGCATGACTGGCACTAATTCAGCACCCTGTTCTTTTTCTAGGCATTTTTAAGAGTATATCAGAACCTACTGGGTTTGCTTATCAGCGTTGTTCCAGCCCTAACAGGACATATTAATAATAATAATAATTTACTTTATTCCAAAAACAGTACTTATAATACAGAATGGAATTCTCAGCATTAAGCACGGACTAGCATTACTTCAAAACGAAGAGACTTAATTCAGCACCCAGCCCTCTTTTTAAGCACAATCAGCGTTATTTCAAAACATGGTAGGTAGATAGAATCTTCATTTACGATAAGAAGGCATGCTCGAGGAATATATTCCTATAGGATTTCATCATGAGCTGACATCAGTTAGAGAACCATTGGAAAACTTGGGAGTACTGGACAGCTGTTTCGTCCTAGTTTGGGGCTCCTCAGCAGTACGCGCCCACCGGGATTCGAACCCAGGACCGTCTGGTTACAAGGCGAGCTCGTATACCATTAAGCCACTGGGACCCTATCCAATGGTCCATGAATTCTAACTTCTGCCAATTCACGACATACCGCGACCCCTAGCCAATGTCTTCGGCGAGTATTTGTCCTCACGCCCGACCTGCTGCACCCTACTGGTCACGACTTCTCACTAGAACCCCAGGTGACTACCCACCTGAATAGGGCAAGTCGCTAGTGAGCATCTCATTGATTTTCAAGTGTTGGTTTGTAGGGATTTCATTGGCTACAGGATTTCATCATGAGCTGCCATCAGTTAGAGAACCATTGGAAAACCTGGGAGTACTGGACAGCAGGTTGGGCGTGAGGACAAATACTCGCCGAAGACATTGGCTAGGGGTCGCGCTATGTCGTGAATTGGCAGAAGTTAGAATTCATGGACCATGGGATCGGGTCCCAGTGGCTTAATGGTATACGAGCTCGCCTTGTAACCAGACGGTCCTGGGTTCGAATCCCGGTGGGCGCGTACTGATGAAGAGTCCCAAACTAGGACGAAACAGCTGTCCAGTACTCCCAGGTTTTCCAATGGTTCTCGAACTGATTTCAGCTCATGATGAAATCCTGTAACCAATCAAATCCCTACAAACCAACACTTGAATATTCCTATAGGTTAGAATAAGCTTAGAATTATCGGGAATTAATTAAGACTACTTGGTTATTTCAGACTCCTGGTGCCCAAATAAAAAATTCAGAGGTCATTTTGATGGTAAAATTTCCGATGACGGCTGTGAAAAAATGGTATTCCCGAACTTCCCAAGATTCCGCGAAAACTCATGAGACTAATGAAATTAGAATAATGTGTGTGATTCTGTGCCAGATTAAGAGAACACTTGGCTCTCTCTCTGCCTGAAAATATGCTAGTCTTTTATTATACTTGAAAAAGCACTATTTGTACATGGTACATTATAATGTAGTAATATAATTATCGGAAAGAGGTACTAAAATTTCACCTTGAAAATGGCGACCTTGCCAGACTCAGTGTCCCTATATAAAATAGCTTGAATTATCATGCTTCAAATGTTCTTACCAAGGTAATCAGCTGAAGATACTCATTATAATAAATAGTCCTCGTGATAGCGGCCTTGTCGAAAGTGGCGCTCATCCAATGTTCAATCGCTTTTCGACAAGTCTGCCGCTATTGTTTCTGGTTCAATTAGTTACTCAGTATGTAGAAATCTGAAAAAAACAATGTTCATGTTCACAACATGCAGAAATCTACGAGTCAATCTGGTGAGGAGAATACGATCAGGGTTGATATTGGCAAGATTTTGAAGAGCATGTTAAACCTAGAGATTTCAGAACGTGATTTGAAGTTGAAAAAGCTTCGAAGCTTTTAGAGAAGCTGAGTATACCATCAGTGTATTATATTATCAGTTTAAGAATCAGATATATTGTCAGAGAATCCAAATCAAACAGGGTTGAGCCACATGAGAAGTATGAATCTGTTGTGCCTGTACGTAGTTTTGGAACTGAAAGAAACTTGATAGCAATCAGAAGCCCCTAAATGGTAAGTGTTACCTATGTTTAATAATGTCCAATGTACTTGATCCAAATACATGAACTAGAACCGCCTGTAGCAAAGCCAGTGTTAACAACCATTCAGTGTGTTGTAAAACGATTTAAAAAATGGATAACATGGTGATCTGGTGAGTGAACGACCTATCCCAGTTAAAGGTAAGACTTTAATTAGCAAGAATAATGTTTCGGGTTGTGGTCTACAGTCCGTGGTTACAACAAGCTGAGAAGCTGATTATTATTCTGGGTGAAAATATTGGCTGAATAAAGATTGCTTGTCTCATTTCAAATAATGAAATTCCTATTTTTTGGATGTTTGTGATTTCTCCGTGGCAATAAATACGGATGACTATGATCTCTAAGAAAACTAAATAAATTTTCCTAGAACTATTGGTTTTCTTTTTCTTGGCGAAACATCTGTTAATACGATTAGAAGATTAGGTAGCAAAGTAGGATGTTCTGTGATTGAGAATCGTAGTCGTCGTGTTTCAGATTAATATCGCGCTTCTAACCGTTATAACCCTAGGGATATAGGCTTTCCGTCATGGTACATTATGATATCCAGAAGTCATAAGCACACTACCTTCGGCAAATTTATTCCTACTTTTTAAGTGACTGCAAATAGTGAATCATCTGAGGTGAGGTAATGAATGTCTCTAAACGCTTCCGTTGAGATTAGAGTAAATTTACTTTTTTCAAGTGGGAGACGATCTTTTTATCAAGAAGGTTCTCAGGATGTCCGCTTTTACTTTGAAATTCAGGGATAACGTTAAGTTGCTCACTAAGGTATTAGCGGAAACCACTTTAAGGTAACTACTTAGCTTTAGGTAATACGTCATAGAAGTAAGCAGCGTAGGTTAATTGTGTCTAAATATACTAAACGTTGTATAACTGGTCAAACCGTAGCTCTTACATACTAGTTAGTCTCATAGACAATGAATGCACCGTACAAACGTATACTTTGATTTGCATATCTGGCTCGTAAGCATTATACCTGCATGTGGTATACATTTAAGATTGGTACGCTGTGTGCGAAACACGGTACTATCATGATTAAAGCAAGAAGAACAGGTCAAGTATAGGTAAGACAAACTGTAAGAGGAGGGGATAAGTAATGCTTGAGTGCCTTAACTTCTTGATGTGAACAATCAGACGAAATATTATTTAAGAAATTGCTAAGACGTGGGAAGACCAGGATTGGTCAGAAGAAAGAATTCATCCAAGATACTTAACGTCAGACTTAATTTCTATATCACTGTAATCAGTTATACGACGGTAATGGGAATTACCAGCTTCATTTAACTCCTTTTTACATCTAAAACTGAAATTAACTGCCTGACATTTGGGAGGATTTAGTTTAAGGCCATTTCTGGTAGAAAGTTGTTCATTTTAGTACTGTCTAGCTGGGAGTTGACAGACACTGAAATAGTTATATCATCGGCATACTTAACAAAGTAGATATTCGAACACTGCAGTTGTTGATCATAGAAATGATGGATATTAGATAACATCACATGATTCAACAGCATATCAGAAATAAATAAAAACTGTTTCTTAGCTGGTCACCAAGTAGACAGTCTATTTGATGATGCCACCACGTATTAACTGATTAATGAAGTAGCTATCAACTCTAATTTACTGCACTGACTTGTGCTGCATACTTGGCGTTTAGCAGTATGCAGACTTGCAACTGGCTAAATAAGGCGACTTTAGCGTAACGAACATTACGAAATTATAATTCTCTTTGCTAAATCCTACTTAGTTTTCACAATGTGCTATTTTATAGAAACAGACGCGAAATCCTATGAATGATTAAAGTAACTCATAATACTGTAGTAAATCTCCATTCCACTAAGCTTAACATGCATTAATCAGAATTCACATATTACGAAAGCTAATAGTATAGCTACGCACTGAAGACGTTCAGAAGAAGTGGAAATGAAGAGTAGATTAAACATTTCATTGATTTACAAATGAAAAATCTGATGAAGGGTATTAGCGTTAGTTCGACAGATTGACATTTCCACTGATTTCACATTCCACAACCTCCATATACCTAAAATATGAAGCACAGCATGAAGTTATGAAACATAATTTTATGTATTAGTATACACTGATTCTGTTAATATTAAGTAAAGTTCTCATACAATTAAAAGTATTTGTAGTCCACAGCTGGTCTTTATATTGACGCCGTATGCATAAATAGACCTCATAAGTTGTCCAGAATTAGAGGATTACACGCAAATTTCAAGATAAACTTTGAAACACCCATACTGTTGAAACGCCATTCTCTAGTCAATTTCACACTAAATACGTCTACGTTAAATGAAGTATTGCAAATAATAATAATCATTTATATTTTCATATAAACATAAATTTACATGAAAATGCATGCCATTTTTACAGGCACGATCAAGTATGATATAATGTCAAATAGTAGATTGCCTACAAGTTAATGTTTGAACAGCTAAATATTTGATATATATATAAATACACTCTTTGTCTGACCCATGTCGTATCATTATTGAATTAAACAGTAGTCCTCCAGGTTGCGCAGGGAAATCGACTTCGTTTCGTTTTCAACTCGCAGTTGTAGACATACGATAGCCAACCAATATTGCGGTAAGTACAACGTTTACAAGGGATAGTGAGATTATCACTTTTTTTAAAAGTTCAAATTGTTGAATTATACAGTACAAGCAATCGGAACAGATTCTTATAATTGTTAATTTATAAATCTTCCACGAGGGTTTCCATCGAAGTTGAGCGACAACCACGTGCTTGAACGCTATTTCAGGAAGAGGAGAAAATCCTGCACAGCTACAAAGTGGTATAAAATGCAATCATGAATAATACATTTTTGGAAGTATATTTACAAGAAAAATACAAGAATAAGCTATACAGTACTTGATATGATAGTGCACATTTGCAATGTATGATGCTAACCATATTGGTCTTACCCTAGAAAACTATGACGTTTTCTATGAAAATAAAGTTATTCTCAAACATGAGTGCTGTTGTTATGTTTTGTTTTACCATCAGAGCAACCGAACTTTATGCGAGAGAAGAGTGTGGATGAGAAAAAAGAAAAACAAAAGAGTAAATTTCAGCTTTACTAAAGGCCTAGGAAGCTGAGATAAAACAGAGTATAATAGTAATTAGGTAGAAGGGTTATCGTGAAGTATATAAGTGACATTTTAGAGAGAAGTGGCTAGAAGGATTAGAACCTGTTGAGTATGGTGACCTGTAGGATGTCTGGCGAACTTGTGTATGGCCCATGGGATAGCATCTTGACAAGAAACTGAGCAGGCTTGTAGATGTTAAGAGCGAAAGCATTATTTTTTTACAAGCTAAGAGTGTTCAGTCATTATTGTTTTAGTTTGTTTTTTTTAAATTTTTTTATGAAGTCAATCTTTTATACTTTCAGCAGCTTAGAAATTGATCCACAATCTCAGCAATGTCTGGTTAGCATAGTTTTCTGAAGCCCACAGAAATTACATTCTCATATTTTGGAATCTGTAGTCATCAAATATAATCTAAACATGCCTCAACTCTAAGCAACTATGCAGTGTTAACAGCATAGAGAAACACTTAAAATATTGTAAGATACGCAGACCTGTTGTGTTGATGAGTATAACAATGACATATAATGCAACATAGGCATTCAATCGTGACACTGCATCTGTACTGTTTCAGGTAAATGGAAATTTCAGAAGAAATTCATCTCCACCATTGGTGATCAAAAACATTGCAGCATTAAGTTTACAGTGTCAGACGGTAGATTAATGATAATAGAGCTAACTAGATTCAATTCTCGTAATCAACACAAACCATGTGTATATCATTACTATACACTGAATGATTGCACTAAGTGAGACAGTGAGGGAAATTAAACGAGTTATTGCCTTCTCCAATGCACTGCACTTGGAACAATCACGAGAGCCACCTACATTTGTTAACGTAGCAGTCAGCTAAGCAAACAATGGCACAATATCAATAGAGGTTTCTTTTATACGTTGAATTCACATAACCCATATTATACTGCGTCAATCAGTGTAAATATATATTAAATTCACTTAGAGATAACCTTTCAACTTACCATAATTCCTGTCCAAACACACATACAGTGAAAGACATGGCTACATGATAACTTCTGTTCCCACAGAAGGTTCTGTCAGCATTTATAGGTGATTCCCATGTACTGATAGCATTTTGTTGTCAAATAGTATTGTTCTTCACACGAAAATAGCCACATTTTGACGTGGTCTTCATTGAATGACACAATGTCGAAAGCTGCAGCTTCTATAAGAAGTAAACTATTTGTGTAGATGACATTACCCTCCAACTACCCCATCTTCTTTACTATTGCGATGTTTTGACTCGTTCAGCATGAAACACTAACCATTGCAACCAATATGCTTAGAGTGTGTCGCAGTCAGATTACATGACGTGGACACCAGCATAACTAGCCAGAAAATGAGAATTCCTATCAATCCAGAAAACATATGACACAATTTTGTTGAAAATTATTGACAAAAAAAATTTATCAAGCGAAATTTCAACCAACATGCTGGATAAGTCCAGCCAGTCTGCGAA